ACCTGGACGCCGGCAGTCGGAGGCTCAGAGCTCCAACGGATTCCGACGCCGGCAGCCGCGAGGAGAGGGTGGGGCCTTCCTGGAGACGCGCGCTGGGTGGCTTCCGGGTCGCGCCTCCGCGCGTCACCGCGAGGTCAGCCAGGCGATTGGCCAACGCAGCCGGCAGGGGGCGGGACGGGGACCGGGGGGGCGTGGTCACTCGGGGGCGGGGCCCCGGGCCGTATTGCGCGGTTGCGCACTGCTGCCGCTGCTGTCGTCGCGGCGCGAGGAGGGTCGCGATGGCTGGTCCCGCGTGGATCTCCAAGGTGAGCGCCGGGCGGGCCGGTGTGCGGCGGCGGGCGGCGGGCCGGGTGGGAACGGTGCGGGCGCCGGGGCCGCGGACGGTGCGGGCAGCCTTGCGCCCGGACGGTCGCACCTGAGGCGGGGCCGGCCAAGGTCACGGCGGGGCCCGGGTGCCCCCGCGAGCGCCGCGCCGGGGCCGGGCTGGGCCTGGCATCGAGCCCGGGGAGGCTCGAGCGCGGCCGGCGGGGCCGGGGTGTGGGCGCGGGGCTCGCGGGAGCACGCGGTGCTCCCTTCGGAGGGCGCGGGGCCCCTGCACGCGGGACTCCCCGTCCGAGCCCCCCGCCGCTGATGTTGGGGAGAAAGCCGCGACCTCGAGAGCTGTGGTGCCCTTGGCAGCTCGGGGCCGGGGCCGGGGCCGGGGCCGGAGCCGGAGCCGGAGCCGGAGCCGGAACCGGGAGGGGCTTCAGGGGCTCCCCGCAGTTCCCCGGTTCCCCGGAGGAGCCAGCCTGCGTCTGCGGATGCTGCCGCTCAAGGTCACGCCGGAGTCGGTGTCGGAGCTGCGGGCGGCCCCAGGGGCCTCGCTGCCTCGTTCCCCGCCGCCTACACCAGAGTCTTAGGTTCGAATTCGGGCCGTGCCGCTGATTGGCTGTATGACCTTGAGCAGATGACTTAACGCCCCTGGTCGTGTGTGCACCCATCTGTGAAACACCTATGCTTGCTCCCCGAGTTGTGGAGGTTAAATGGCGTGAAAGCAGCGGCACACAGATTTGAAGCTTTCAGCTTGCCCTCGCGAGCAGACGGCGGTTCTGCTTGGTTAGCCTCTTCAGACCTGGGCTTGTGTGTGACGGTGACTGTTAGACCACACTTGCTGCAGAAGGCGGAGTGGCTTTCGTGCCCCTGTCGCCCCACTTACCACCTGATTCCTGTTTGGTGGGTTCACCACGCCTTCAGACGGTAGACTGAGCAGCCCACCTGGTGAGGGATGTGCGGGTAAGTGCGCTTTGCCCAGAGTGTGGGGCCCAGCGTGATAGAAGATGTTCCCCTCTGACGTCGACTGGCTGTGAGGCCTTTGACCTCTGTGCGGCCCGGTTCTCCCCTTGGGGGTTGGACCGATGCCCTGGGATGTGGGAGACGCTGAGCTAGGGCGGCTTCAATCAGAGCAGTTCCTTTATTGGGGTTCCATTCAAGGTTTTATTTGAAAAAAGTGATTTCAACTTAAATTGTTTTTTTTTTCCTAAAAAAGCCTCGATTTTGAGAAAATACTAGGTTTCTAAAGACCTTTCTGGTTCTAACATGCTATGATTCCAATAAGCCAGTTCCCTGCAGCAGACACTTACTGAGAGAGTACCAGCCATGCGCCCCGCACTGTATTTGTATGTCTGAGTTGGGCAGGAAGGTGACAGGAGGTGAGGGGCTGTGACAGGAGAAGGACTGGAGGTCCCGGCCTCAGGCTCCTTATCTGCAAAGGGCCACTGACACCTCTCTCTCCAGGTTCTGTAGAAACTAACATATATGCAAATAGATTGTAAAGTACAAGCCAGCCTGTGCTCGAAAAAATCCTGCTTAGAGTTCTGGGTCATTTTAATGACTTGGACGAATCCTGCCTTATTCGAAGATCACATAGGACAGATGACAGACGCCGACCCGACTGGTTGCAAGTATTAGAGGCGTTTGCGGGGTGAGAACTTGGCCGACAGAGAGGTGATTGAAGCAGGCTTTTCTTTTTCCCAAAAATATTCATTGAGCACCTACTGTGAGCCCCCAGCTGCCCTGGGCCCTGGGGATCCCAAGGTGCTTGTGGATTCACATCTGCAGCTGGGTCTTGGTCATGGAGACGGGGGCCTGTTCCGGATGGATGTCCTTCCCCTCTTTCTGGGGTGGGGAGGGGTGGGGAGGGGAAGCACGCGGGCAGATCTGTCTTCCAGCAGCCATCTGTCCGCGGGTGAATCGTGTTCCAGGATTAACATTTTTGCCGGTGGTTTGGCATCGAGTGCTCTTGGGATCTGGCCCCATCTTGTATTTTCGGTGCGGGCAGATGACCGTGGGCGCCAGGTGGGAGAATGCCGCACGTTCATGCCTTCTTGGCTGTTGGTGGCATCTCGTTAGTAGATGCCAGTATCACAGCAAAGGTTCGGGCCTCCTGGGAAGTGACCCCAAAAGGAAACACTAAGACAGGACGTTAACAGCTGTGTCTTCACTTATGTATCCAGCGTGAAAAAAAGTTACCTTGAAAACTTCTAACGGCTTTTGGCAGCTTTGGTTGATGTACTCAATTTCTTTGATGGTATTCTGATTATGCTAACGTAGTAGGACTTTGTCCCAGTGTTCAGTGACTGAGTTATTAAAGTCCAAAATCACCTTTGAAAGTTTCTGTTTCTGGTGTCTAAGAGTGTTACGTGGAAAACAGTACGCCAGTGGTACCATCTTGGGCTAGTGGGGTTGGTAGGTGACTTTTCTTTTTTTTGTGTCCCTTTCCCGGCAGTTAACAGTAATGACCATGTTACCTGTGTTGTGAGAAAAAATAAGTAACTTATTTAAAGTCTTCATTCTGTATGACCCAAGTATCAAGTCAACTTTGTTAGATTTTTTTGTTATTGTAAAGAGTAAATACTGAATATTCACGGGAGAAGAACAGGCATAATGTGTAACTAAAGGAGCACTGGACTGGGAGTCAGGAGACCTGAATTCTGGTCTCTGGTCACTCTGTGGCCTTAGGCAAATCCTGACCCTTTAGACACCAATGTCTCCACCTGTGTCATGAGTGACTGGGCTCTGGAGTTTTTAAGGGCTCCTCCAGCTCTAAAATTAGTGATAGATTATGTGGTACCCCCACCTTGAAGCAGTAGTCGAGAATGTTGACATAAAACCTTCCAGATCATCTGAGAAAAATCCAGTGTTTGAGTTAAAAAGGTATATAATAGTCTCATTCCACCTTGAACACTTTTTGACAACTCATATGCATCAAATCCACGTTGAAAGTATTCAGTACTTAAATTTTCAAAGCGAAGGTAAACTGAACAGTTAGGTTTTCAGGTCTGAGGTGGCTTGTCACATTGAGCTAATACATGAGAAGACTACTGCTCAGAAGTTCCTGAATATATGCGGGCAAACTTGTAACATTGTCAGCCCTCGGAAATGGCCTGGTCTGTGCCTGGTCTGAGTGGTTTAGTTCTGTGAGTGACGTTTCTTTGTTGATGTTGGCGTAGGTCTCTCGGCTGCTGGGGGCGCTGCACAACCAGAAACAGGTGACCCGAGGGTTCGCTGGTGGTGTGAGTACGATTACATCTTTCGTTTTTTCCTTTTAGAAGTTTCTCAAGAAAGGTGCTCTGACATGTTTATCATACAGTCTCTTGTCTCTGTTTACTTCAAATTAAGGAAAATTTGCCATACTTCTCCTGGATATTTAAATCACTGGCTCACACGCACGAATGCATCAGGTCACTTGCACATTTAAAAGAATTACATCACAGCTGGCTTCATAAGCCTGTCACGTTAGTATCTTAAAGGAGTCTTGTTAAAAATTGAAATGGCCCTTGAACCTGTTACTTTATTTCACAATCTCATTTTTGTAAGACAGGTTTTTTTTTCAAAACTAGTGCAAGTTGAGAGAAAATTGTTGAGAAGCTTCAAAACCTGCTTTGCATCTTTATTTTGTGGGCTTCCCTGAACACGGTAGATGGCCCACTAACGAGGAGCAGCTCACACATCTGTGAGCCCCGTGGGCTCACGCTCCCCTCCTCGGCCTTCAGAGAGGATCGTGTTAGTGGATCATCTATTTCTCATTAAATCTGCCGCTTTTAGAATCCCCGGCGTTAGAACTCGGCGCTTTAAAGGCTGATACCGCGTTTTTAGAGCCTTCTCAGACTGTGGGTCAGTGAGTTCCTACTTGGTTTTATTTTACCCCTGGCTACAGAATCTGATTTGGACTTCACAATTCCTGTGCTCCCATATCACGTCTTGCTCCGTGAGGGTTCATTGGGTCCTCGTACCTTTTCACTCCGGTCGCTCTCTGGTCCGTGGAAGAGACGTGGATTTCTTCTGGTGGCCTGGTGACACTTATTATTACATGTTGGGAGAACAGGAACAAGAAGCCAGAAGGTTCTTTTGGCTCTGCGTGTGCAAAAGACACAGAATGAGGCTTGCACTCCTGGCTCACGGACAGCCAAGCTGGCATTTCAAACGTTTTCTGAAAGCTAGTGAGAAGATCGTTGCTCTCTGCTATTATTTATTTGCAGGCCGTCCACATGTAAAAAATATTAGCCTGGTGGGGAGGGGTTTATATTTGAAAGAAACAAGAAGAGGAGCTAAGTTTTTAGAAGATTTCTTCAGTAACACAGAAAAATTGAGAAACCGTCCACGCGCTCAGTGAGTTGCAGTGGAAGGGCAGAAGAGCAGGGAAACTCGAATCAGTGATTTGAGACAAGGTAGCACAGACGACTAGACCTGGAACAGACCGGGGACCGTCGCCCGGGCCAGACCCCCAGGCAAGAGAAAGGCCCCACCTAATGACATGTAGGGTCTCCAAACAGGGAGGGAGGGTCTGAACATTACCTTAACTCGTTGAAACCCTGTCATCATTTCCTGTTACGCGCTTTTATTTCTGTGTTTGAAATGCTGGCTTGATTGTTTGAAGCCTTTGCAATAAACCACTGGTGTCACATTATAGACACTCGTGTCCTTCCGCGTCTAACTCAGACTTTGCCGGTATGAGCACGTGTGCTGTTCTTACAGGTGACAGACAAGCTGCGCTGAGCTCAGTTAGGTGACATTTGTCCTCGAGGAGCCGGCTTCACAGAGGAGCTCAGAGAAGCGGGGATCCCCTTGTGACCGGAGGTCTGATTTTCTCTGAGTTCCGAAACAGACCCCAGCAGTGTTCTGGAAATGTGTCTGAAGTGTTTTTAAGACTGAGCAAACTGTGTGAGAAACCTAACTTTCCAGGATCCCAGTGGAGAGGAGAGCGGTTGCCTTCCTGAGAAACTCTCTGAATTTCAGCGAGAGAACATGGTTGAAATTTTTGTTCTCTCTGCTTTCACAGACTTGAATTAATTGGGCTCTTTGTAGCTTGTCTGGAAAAAAAATACGAATTAGGAGGTCTACTCTGTGATTTATTTTTGTTTTCTGTAGAGCATCACCTCAGTTTTTTTAAAGCCTCCGATTTCTTTGTCGGGGATACTCTTTTCCAGACCGCCAAAAATTGATTCTTCCTGTCTTCTCTGGCGATCTCTTCCACTCAGGTTCAGACGGTAACTTTAATTCCCGGGGATGGCATCGGCCCAGAGATCTCGGCGGCCGTTATGAAGATTTTTGATGCTGCCAAGGTAAGCGCGCTTGAAAACGACCTTTGGTAATGCTCGCAGAAAACTGGTCTTAGCCGGCCGGAGTCCGTGGCCTTGGGATCAACCGTCCCATCTGGCGACGCGGGAAGGCGTGTGGCCATCGCCACAACACTGACGTCAGCAGCATTCGTGCTGGGGACGGCAAGCCCGTGCGCCGGCTCCGCCGTCCGCCAAGAGGCCGGTGTCGAGCGGCCGTGCGCGTGGGTCCCTGAGCCCTGCCAGGTCACCTGTCTCCTCAGTATGTGCCCTCCCGCCGAGAAGAATAGAACCGATTTTGCAAAACACTGTGTAGGAGATTTTCAGAGATGAAAACAAATTTCTGATGTGGTGTCACCATCTAGCATGAGGTGTGATTATTCTAGCAGCCCAGCCTTCCGCGCAGGTAGATATTTTAAAATGCTTTCGTTCGGGGGTAGGGGACGTTGGGCTTTATTTGACACGATGCTCAGTTAGGGCAGTTACAGCTTCCAGGTGCCGTCACGTGCAGGGGGAGGACGGGGGCAGGTCTGAACCGTCCATACCCTGCTCCCCGAAGCACGCCCCCCACAGAGGAGATGGAGCTCGCCTGGTGGCGGAGTCCCCAAGGAACTGCACGGTTCCCCCATTTGCTGTGTGCGGTCCAAGCCAGTGGCGAGGCGCACACGAGCCCAGGGCCGTGTCTAACTTTAGAGCACCGTTACCACCCAAAAGAAACCCTGGGCTCATTGGCAGTCACTGCCCATCCCCCACCGTCCGTCCCCTCCCCTCCCACGGCCAGCCCCAGGCGGCTACCCGGCTACTTTCTGTCCCTACATGTGCCTCTTCTGGACATTTCGCAGGAATAGAATCTCATGCCGTCTTCTGTTGGCTTCCTTCACTCAGCACAAGGACCGCTAGGTTCGTCCGCGTGTCGGGACCGTGTCGTGTTTCCGCGGACCATGTTTCTCAGCTCCTTGCAATATTCTAATTTTAGCCGCGTTAAGAGTAGTGAAAACACATAAGTGGGCAGGTGTCAGGTGTGGACCGGACAGGGCAGCGCGGAGAATGACCTCTCTTCCCGCGTGTCAGGAACTTTCCGGACCTTTATTGTACGTTTCCACCGGCTGCACCGGCAGGTGAAGCAGTTTGTAACCAGTGTCGTGTGAGTCCCACTCTGCAGCTTCCTGTGCTCTGTGCCGCCTCTAGGCGCCCATTCAGTGGGAGGAGCGGAATGTCACCGCCATCCAGGGACCCGGAGGAAAGTGGATGATCCCTCCAGAAGCCAAAGAGTCCATGGATAAGAACAAGATGGGCTTGAAAGGTAGTGGATCCAATGGCGACTGTGGCTTTCTGCTACAGCGGTTACATTTTTGAAAGTTTATGCATGTAAGCGAAATACGGCCTGACCGTGTTCAAGTGAAGCCACCCTTTTTGAAGCAATTTACTTATTACTTCCTTTTCCAAATTTTTTTGCCGGAGTATAGCCGACACAACACGATACTGGTTTCAGGCGCGCATCGTAGTGACGCCTTCTCCACGTTATGTTGTCACCACACGAAGCAACTTACAGTGACATGCCGTGGTTTTCATCTGGGGACGTATTTCTCCCCAGTAAAAACACGAAGGTGTTACTGGCCAGTGTCAAATGAAAGTATGTGTTTATCTTCACCTGGATTTATCTTGTGCATACTTCTCATGTTTTCGGTGCTATTCTAATTAGCATGCGCTTCAGGTCATGGTTCAAAACACTGGCGTGTGCCAGACGCCCGTTCGGCCCAGGCTTTCAGTCCAGACAGATCCAAGTTGCGATCTCTTGTCTGCCACTGACCGCCGGGAGGCTCCGGCAAGTTTCTTTCTCTTGGTTGTGGTTTTCCTGCTCACTTTTAACTGACAGCAAGGGCGATGTCACCTCCCGGATGGTGGCGAGGGTCACACACTGGAGCCTGGTCCTCCACCAGTGGGTGCACAGTGATGTTCCTGAAAGCTTCCGTGCGGATCTTCCTCCTTCACCGGAGTAGAGGGTAAAGCTAGAGACAGATGCCTTCTCCGGAGTAGCCCGGGGGAGTTAGCAGGTGACCCTTGCTCGTTGTGAAAGTGCCCCTTTGTTCGTGGGCACGCACGTTAGACCGACCGCACGGCTACTTCTCCCCCAAAGGAAGGACCCTAGCTGAGCTGCGACCGAAAAGTAAAACAAAGGAAAACTGGAATTTCCAGTAATCGTGAGGTACTTGTGTTTAGAAGGAAGAAGGTGTGCCCGCTGGCTCGGTTCGTGGAGCGTGCAACTCTTGATCTCAGGGTTGTGGGTCCGGGCCCCGTGTTCCGTGTGGAGATTACTTGGAAATGAATTCTTAAAAAAAAAAAAGAACAAAAAGAAGAAACACCCCCGAATGTACCGTGTTGTCATGTGGGTTCTCTTCTTTATCACAGGCCCTTTAAAGACCCCAATAGCAGCTGGTCACCCATCTATGAATTTATTGCTGCGTAAGACCTTTGACCTTTATGCAAACGTGCGGCCGTGTGTGTCCATCGAGGGCTATAAAACCCCTTACACCGACGTAAACATTGTCACCATCCGAGAGAACACAGAAGGAGAATACAGTGGCATTGAGCATGTGGTATGTTCCTTCCACACTTAAATTCTTACTGGGGTTGCTCTCTGTGCTCTTGGGACAGTTGTTCAGACCCCCAGTTGTTGAGAACACCTGGCAGAGACGGCTCGCCTTGACCCCCAGGAGGCGAGGGCGGTTGCCTTGGCCCCGCCTTGCCTGGCAGCAGGAGGGGGGGCGGGGGGTGTCCTCTGTTTCAGGTTACAATCCTCAGCTTCACAGGCGGGGCCCGGGGCCATCTCTGCACCTGTTTTCCTCATCCGTGCAGTGGGCCTTATTCTACCTACCTCGTAGGGCCGGGGTCGATGTTATTGGCCCCGGCGACACCCCACGTGCGCGACGCGAGCCGTGGCAGCTGGCACTGTGTGAGCACACCCCCAGTGGTGGTGCCCCCTCGCTGCCAGCGGCCTAGTGCGGCCGTTCCGGTGAGGCAGGACCCCCTCTCCCTCAGATCGTGGATGGGGTTGTGCAGAGTATCAAGCTCATCACCGAGGAGGCCAGCCGGCGCATCGCCGAGTTCGCCTTTGCGTACGCCCGCAACAATCACCGCAGCAACGTCACGGCCGTGCACAAGGCCAACATCATGTGAGTCCTGGGCCGGGCAGAGCCCCGCTCGCTGTGGGCAGGGAGCGGAGACCCGGCTCTCCTTCCTTCTCCCGGTTATGGAGCAGACTGGGGGGCAGGAGCTTAGGATCCGGGGTATAAGGCGGGCCTGAGAACTGTCAGAGACGCTGGAGACGGGCTCCCCAGACGCTGTGGCTGTTCCGCCGAGGCTGCGAGTCACAGGGCAGGGGCGCTGATGTCCAGGCAGAACCGGGAGCGTTTCTGCGGTGACCACCGAGTGCCGGGGGCTTCCCTCGGCTTCCCCTCACGGGCGAGCCCCTCCCCCACTCCGCTTAAGGCCAGGCGGGTGTGCGCAGAAGCAGTTTCCTCAGGGCGGACGGGGAGGTGTTGAGCATGTACGATAGTAAAACCAACTAAGTGATCCGATGAGTTAGTCTTTTAAAGCAATTTTAACCCTTTATGAATACACATTTCTTAATTCTTGCTAGACAAGACTATTAAAAAATAATAGTCTTTATTATGACCAAACTATTTTATATTTGTATCCTTTTGTGCTTCCGGAAACATCCCCAGACATTTTCAGTTTGTGTCTTATTAACTGCCTGAAAAACAATTTTACTATAATTGAAATCGGACATCTGGGCTTCTGGAACTAACGTTTGTTGACCTTCTTTGATCTGATCCTTTTCTTTCTGCAAGTCTTTCCTTCAACAGTTTTTATTTAATTAAATGCAGGCGGATGTCAGATGGGCTTTTTCTGCAAAAATGCAGGGAAGTTGCTGAAAACTGTAAAGATATTAAATTTAACGAGATGTACCTTGATACGGTGTGTCTGAACGTAAGTACACCCGCTTCCTTGCATGGTGCCTTCTGCGGAGCGTCCCGTGCGCGGGCTGTGGCTTTGATCGCTAAACACACCGACGCATTCCTCGTAGATGGTCCAAGACCCGTCCCAGTTTGACGTTCTCGTTATGCCGAATTTGTATGGAGACATCCTCAGGTGAGTCTGACTACACCTTTTCCGCCTGTCGTTTATTTATAAACGTCCTAAAGTAAACGTGGCTTACAGAGTTTCGATCAGGTGCCATGAACTACAGCGTGTGTTATACGGGTCCTCGTGATTCAGGCAGCCGTGTCAGCGATTACACATTGGGTGGGTCATTCGTTTCTTTGCCAAATCGGCTCTGGGCTGTTGTTCCCTAATGATTAGTCCCTTTTCCCGTTTTGAGATGTTTTATTGGTTGAGTGATTTCAGTGTGTTGTGATGTATAGCCACCTAGCGAGTGGTAAATTTGTTCAGAATTTTTGTGACACTTGACACAATTTCAGACTTACAGAAAGGTTGCCGGAAGGTCCAGGGACTTCCTGTGTGCCGGCACCCACAGCCCCCAGGTGCTGACGTTTGACCACACCGACATTATGGTTCCCCGGCTGCCCCCCCCCCCCCCCCCCCCCAAAAAGCTGGCCGTCACTCCTACGTTTCTAGCTCCTTCACTTGGGCCTTAGGAGTTTCAACACATTGCTCACAGAAGTGCTAAACCTAGAGGGACAACAACTAACTTTTGACTAAAAGTCATTGCTAAGTTCTTTTATCCCATTATATCATTTAATCCTGACAATTCCACAGAATAGATTTTGCCTCCGTTTTATAAATAAGGCAGCTGAGGCTCAGAGAACCTTAAGTAACTAGCTGGAAGTTTCGGGAAGCCTCGATTTAGACCCCCAAAGTGTCCAGCCCCAACGACTGGGCCCCCCTCCTGCAGGAGGGGCTGGACGTACAGCAGCGGTGGTCTGTCTTTGAAAAATACCACGTTTGTTTCCCCCTGAGTCTCGCTCATGATGTGAGTGGAGGATTTGGTGGAAAAGGGTAAGCAGGAGAAAGGGCCTTTTGGTTGGCGTTGTGTGCGCATAAGCTTGTTTCTTTGCGTACGTACTTCTCCGTTTGGACGCATGGACGTCACTGTGGGCGGGACCACCACAGCCATCATCGTACTGGTGCTCGGGTCACCCCATCCTGGCCGGTGCAGGTCCCTGTGAGCTGTGTTGTGTCCTCTGGACGCGGCCCACCATTTGCTTTCCGGTGCAGCAGGATGCCGTGGACTTATCCTGGATCTTCTCACTGTGGTCCGGGATTGGCCATTTCTCCGAGGAACCCCGTGCCCTTTGGTGGAGGGTGGTGGTTAAAAACCAAAGTCTGGGTGCTGGGTGAGAAGCTTCACTTTTCAGAACACTCTCAAAATGCTTTTCCGCCCCCAGTGACCTGTGCGCGGGATTGATTGGCGGTCTTGGTGTGACACCAAGTGGCAACATCGGAGCCAACGGGGTCGCCATCTTCGAGTCGGTAAGACCCTGGTGAGGCCTGAGGCGGGACTCACCCGCACAGCCCGGGAGCCCCTGGCGGGTTGGCTGTGTAAATAGGTTCCAAGTGATGGGTTTTCCCTGTTGTCAGAAGAAACTGATGCTTTGTGTAGGTTTGTCAGGTGAGCCTGGTTTATTCATTCACTTCCCTCTTTATTTTGTGTCCGTGTTATTTATTGGGCGTCCTCCCTCAGAGCATCTTCCCGAAAGTTGGGCATGATGGTTAGTCCCTACGTTTGCACTTTCTCCCCCTTACTTTGGCTCTTTTTCTGACACTTGCCTTCTCAGACCCGCGTCTGCTGAATGGGCACGGTAGCCATTCAGCGATGCCCCTCGTCGGTGAGGAAAGGTTGGCCGGTCCCCGCGTCCCCAGGGGAGTGCTGTCTGCGGGGGCCCCCCTGACTATGCTTCCATTCCCATGGGCAGGTTCACGGCACCGCCCCGGACATCGCGGGCAAGGACATGGCCAACCCCACGGCCCTCCTGCTCAGCGCCGTGATGATGCTGCGCCACATGGGACTCTCCGACCACGCCGCCAGGGTCGAGGCTGCGTGTTTTGCCACAATTAAGGATGGGAAGGTATCGGCGGTCGTCCGTGCTTGGGCCGTGTCAGATGCGTCCCCCCGCATTGTGTCCGCTGCCTGTGCGTTTTCCATAGAGGGAGCCGCGTGTCAGGTCGGGGAAGGGTCGGGAAGTGCTGACGCGGAGACACCCGGGCAGAAGAGCCATGGCCTGGGAACCACAGTCAGTTAGGCCTCGGGTCCCGTGGCCAGTGTACGATCTGGGTCAAGTCAGCTCATTTTTCTAGACAGCGTTTCCTCCCCAACATAACCAAGTGTTTTCCCACATGTACTGTAGGGATAGAGGGGACATTTTGGAAAGCCTCCCTGCCTCCTTTCGTCGCGACCCTGTTGTGTCCTCCTCAGGGTGCCCTGAGCGCTAACCTGGGCCTTGGTCCTCCGGGGTGGGGGCCTCCCTCTCCAGCGGGAGCCAGATCGGCTGGGCCCACATCCCCCTGGGGGCTTTCCGGAAAAGCATCCTGGCTTTGTTTAGGGTGTGGATCCATTTTATCTTGGCTGTTCTTCTTTTCTCAGAGCTTGACAAAAGATCTAGGAGGCAATGCCAAGTGCTCAGACTTCACGGAGGAAATCTGTCGTCGAGTTCGAGATTTGGATTGAAGCTCCTGCGCGTGGAGCCCGCGTCCGTCACGCGCACCACATCACGCACACATGCGGTTTGCTTCTTTCCTGACAGTACATTTCTAGATCCGGCCTTTTCTCAACCAGATCTCTGTGGAGGGTGCAGGGACGCGCTAGGCCTGCTCTCCGAGGACTTTTCCTGAGGGCCCGTTTTATTGATGACGTGTCTGTCCGGTGTGCGTCTTCTGTAAGCTCTCAGTGGACTGTATCATTGGCCATGTTAATCATTTTACACTTGAGTTAAAACGGTTTTTCCTCAGCTGTAAATACGATACAGGATTAATAAGAGAAAACATCTAACTTTTTAAAGAAAACCCTGTTTTCCTTGGTTTATGAAAAACATAATAGGAATAAGATGGAATATTGGCAGGATAGCACAAGAGGACATTCTCATAAAGCCACACGGCCACAGGAGAGGGTTCCGGGAAGTTCAGGCCACCACCCCCCAGTGAATGCGGCATATGTCTTAGTGCTGTGGGAAGTAGACAGGTAGGTACATTCTCCCGTGAATTAGTATGAATAAAGACCTCAAATCCAAGAAATCCATACGAGATGTAGACGTAGGTAGAGTGTGGGATAGGAAGACGCACGTGCGTCTGTGTGGATGATTCGGTTTCTCCAGACGTACTCTTCTTGGCGGGAGCTTTAATGGCGCGGAGGGGACTTCCTTTCACTGGATGTGCGAGGCGCTGGGTCGGCCATGGGAGCCTGTGGCGTGAGCCTCGCTCGGCCCAGAGCGACCTGAAGGCCTGACCACGAATGTTTCGGCCCCCAGTTAACTGGGGACGCTGGCCGTTACTTTCCTATCTCAGTGGCTGCCCCTCCCCTTCCCCAAAGCACCGAATCACTGCCACCCACCCCAGCGCTGGTGAGAGAGGAGCCCGCAGTGGGGGCTGGGCGCAGCTGTGACCCTGCCCTCCACCCCTCCCCCCCCCCCGCCCCCAGCACGTTGTCCTTTACGGCAGGCACGCAGTCGCTATTTTCATGAACAGACTGCCCTTCGTGTGGCGCTGCAGGCCCAGGGGCTTCGCAGAGAGCACCCAGATCACAGGCGTTTCTTAGCAAATCTCACTGACTGGGTGCTTTTTTAGGCTTGTAACCAGACCCGAGTCTTAGGTGTCTTTTACTTTGTTTAAGCCGCAGCTTCCTCTTTTCGGTTGCGTTGTGCTAATTACCAGTGACCCTCGGGTTCGCCCTAATAAAGAAATTCCAGAACTGCCTGGAGTGTACTCTTTCTCCAGCTGTTTCCTGGCGAGACGCCAGAAGCCATCTCGGCTCCAGGTATTTGGGGTGAAGGGGTGGGATGGCGGTGACACTCCGGCACAAGCCGGCGCGTTCTCACAAAGCCCCCCCGGGTGCCGTCCTGCCCGATGGTCTCACGCCTGGGGCACGCTGTCCCCCGGGTTAAACACCCACGACTCTCGGGACTAGTCCCGCCCGCTCAACTGAAAAGAAAAGTCAGGGGCTCGCCGGCAATTCTGTCGAATAGTTTAATATTCAAATTTCACTCCGTACAATCACGTAGGCAGCCGCAGTTTTATCAAGCGTCAGATCAGTCGGCAGGTGCGAGTCACGGGACGGCCTGGTGCCCGAGCGGCAGCGTCCGCTAGATCCAGGGCAGACCGGCCATCAGGAGGCGCTGACCGGGCTTTCCTGCCCATGCGGAGCGATTGGGCCGCCCTCCCCCTGTGCACGGCCTGCACCCTGGCCCGGCTGCCGCAGCCCTCCTGGCGCTCAGGCCGGGACCCCGGTCCCCCCCCCCGTCAGCTTCAGGGGGAGAGCTGAGCTCACGTGTCACCTGAACAAAAGGCAATGCTGAAAACGAAAAGTACCCACATGCGAAGCTTCCTGGAATTGTCAGCTGCCGTCGGCAAAGCGTCACTGCCTCACCCTGACCCGGAGACCTCCCAGACCGAAGGGGACCTGGAGCGCAGGATGTCCCCGGGAGGCCTGCCGTCTTCGGCAGAGGCTGGGAGGATGTCCCCCTGTCACTTTTTCTGCTCCTGGTAAAAGGAATCGATGACGTCTTTGTACTTGTCCAGGACTGTGAACCGTCTCAGTTTCAACGTGGGACCTGAGAGAGCAAGTGGAAGGAGGGGTGAGGCCCGGGCTCGGAGAAATCCGGGAAGATGTGTCGTGGGGATCCGCGCCTCTGACGGCAGCTCAGCGGTACCGAGTGCTTACGCCCCGCTTCGGCCTTGATGGCTCGGAGGGCACTTCCCGGGGGAAGCCGCTCCCACCCGCCCCGGGGCGGACACCCCAGCGTGCTACAGCGGAGAGCGGCCCCCGCGTCCAGCTGAGGCGGCACCAGAGGCCTGCTCTGGTCTGTGGGCTGTGCCGCAGGGGGGCTCCACCCCCGACTTCACAGGAGATGCCGGTGGTCTCGCCCCCCCGGGAGCCAGCTGGCCCCAGCCCAGGCACCAGTAGGGCCTCGGTGTCAGTCCGGGGGGTCCCATTGTGATTTCAGGGGAAACGGTCCCACGGTCGAAGCAGAGTTAAGGGTCGTGTTGGAACCGATGTGTGGGTTCGCCAGGCTCACCCCGCCAGCCCACACCCCTGGCCAGCTGCGTCCTCCCGCACGGCCCCCGGAGTAGTGGGGACAAACGAGGGAACCCCTACCCAGCTCTCCCCCTGCCACGGAGAAGTCCTTCTGGAGAATGGCCCACTTCTGGATGCGGTAGGGTTGGGCGGCTGCCTTCCTGTTGACTCTCTGAATCCCTTCTTCAATGGCCCGGTACACGGCCTCGTCCCTCCTCCCCACGATCTCAGACACGGTGGTGGCGCGGCTCCCCACCCGCCGGCAGAACTCCACGGCTTGTTCGGTCAGGTGGTCCGTTGGGTGACAGGCGTCTGGGTCCAGCGTGCACTGAAAAGGCAGAGGTCAGAGCCGGTGCGGGCCTCACCCCATGAGACGCGAGCCCATCTTGAGGAGGGTTTGCTGGGGCCAAGGATGTGGCTCACTGTGAGCTGTTCCCGAAAGATGGCTCAACGGTGGGTAGGACGCCACCCCGGCGGTGTGGGGCCCTTGGTGCGTGGAGCCCGTGGTGGGATGACACCGGACGGCCCTTGGCCAGCACACCATGGTCTAAAACAGGGGCCTTCTCCTGTACATCTGGCACCCTGGGCTCTGAGCATGTGAGCGGGGCAGCGCTGGGACAGAGGGACGGTCACAGCAGTACATTATCAGTTGTGGGGGTTGGGGGTGGCGCGCAGGGCAGAGCGTGTTCCCACAAGCTACACCACCCCTTGTGCAGGTAGCCAACGGGTCGTCCCAGGATATAGTCACGAGACCCCATGCGTGCCCCAGCCGGGCATGCCTTCTGCTGGGGCCGGACCCCCAGTCCGGCCGCCCCTCCCGAGCCAGACGCCCAGACGCACCTTCAAGGTGAGCAGCATGGACAGGAACTTCCTCTGGTCCCCGATGAGCATGGCGTTGCTGACGATGGGCAGCTCCATCTTCACGGCATCCTCGATGGGCACAGGGGGCACGTTCTCCCCTCCGGCTGTGATGATTATCTCTGGGGAGGCAGGGCCAGGCCCCCGGCACAGGCTTTAGTCCAGCACCCCCGCGGAACCAGGACCCAAGCCTGGGCCACGGCCCCTGGAAGCCACACCGGCCACTTGGGGAGGTGCAGCCGGCAGGGGGGTTGGCGGGGGGCGGCGCACACCCTCGGAAGCACCTCTGACTCGCCTACCCCCTTCCCAAACGCCCTCCCCTCCCCAGCAGTCCAGAGTGCACCGCCTGCTCTCAAGGGCCGCTCAGCTCAGGAGGCCCCCCCGCCTCGTCCACGCTGGCCCTCCCTCGTCTAAGCTGCTCTCACAGCGTCCGCCCCTCGTCCCGTGGAGGGCCGTGCACGAGCAGGTGCTGGCACTCAGTGCTCTGGTCTCTTCCCGCCAGGCCAGGTGGGAGTAAGCGGACGTTTACTGAATACACCTGGACTGCTCTAGCTGGATTGTGCCCCCTGTTCTAGTTGGACACAGAGGAATCAGTCACACTGTGTGCGGGCCCCATGTTGACATCGGGCAGAGGAGAAGAATGAGACAGCCCCTGGCTGCAGCGAGCTCACCGGGCCGTGGCACAGAGGACGGCCGGGGAGGAAGCCGTCAGACAGGGCGTGTCTAGGGCAGCGAGAGTGGGCGTCCCTCACCACCCCTGCCTTCTTGCGCTTTCCCTGACCACCCGCTCACCCCCACCTGTGTCTTACACCGTCAGTACCCGCTAGAAACCCTCGGCAAACGGCATGGAGACGAACACCCCCCAAGACCCCACGCGAAACACACTCCAGGATAAAATGTTGAAAGTGTCCCTCCCGAGATCAGGAACAACACAGGACGATCGCCGTCCCCACGTCCATTCACCGCACGCGGCTCCAGGTGTCCTGCCGGCGCAGAGGCAAGAGAGATACAGGAATGGAACGAAGGAACGAAACTGTCCTTATTTGAAGAGGATCCGACCGTGTCCCTGAAGGTTTGGAAGGAACACACAAGCCAGCAGAGTCACATGACTCGTCGAGGCCCCGCCACCCCAGGAGAGCGCGGAAGCAGCCTGTGTGCCCTCGGCAGGCAAGCAGAACGCAGATTTTATGCGATGCTATTTACGACAGCACCCACGATAGAATACTCAGGGCCAATCTAAGGAGAGGCGTGCAAATACCTGCACGCTGTGAACGTTGCCGACAGACCTCAGTGTAAGCACACCGAGGGCGGGGGGCACCTGGGGGACTCAGTCGGTTAAGCGTCCTGACTTCGGCTCAGGTCACGATCTCATGGTTCACAGGTTCGAGCCCAGCGACGGGCTCTGTGCTGACGGCTCAGAGCCTGGAACCTGCTTCAGATTGTGTGTCTCCCTCTCTCTCTGCCCCTCCCCCACTCGTGCTGTCTCTCTCTCTCTCAAAAATAAGTAAACGTTAAAAAAACTTAAGGACGCCGAGGGATAGACGGGGTCCTTGTTTAAACTGGACCGTGTGACCCCGACTGACACCACAGGGGCTGCGGACACTTTCCCAGCTTTGTCGCCTGCCTTTGCTCATGGTGGTTTGCCCACTGGTTTGTTCTGTCTGTAATGTCGTGAAAGTCTGTTAGTCCCTTTTCACGGCTCCCATGGT